CTTCCATGCGCTAAGACGTTTTCTAGAATTGACGATAGACTTCGGGAAACTGGTACATTTAAGAAAAACTCTAGTAACAGTGGAAGACAAAATTATGTGAACTCCTGCTTTGGAAGAAGCAATTTTGGATAGGGTAGCTGAAACCCCATCGACAAGTACCAGAAAAATAGCAAATGGTAAGTAATTACTTATTTATTATTTTAGCTACCCCGTACCTTATCGCATAAAACTAGTTTTTTTACTTGTTATTGCTTCTCTTACATTTCACGACTTTTCGTATCGAAAAGAGTTGCGTTATGCAGAAAAAATCTGATTTCCCAAATCAATGGATTCTCTTTCTTAACTATTCACTACACAGATTCTCTCATTTAATTTCAGAAGTGGGAGTCGGACGTAACACGGTATGGAAAGTTTTGCGTGAACAACAATTGTACCCTTACCACATTCAAAAAGTTCAGGCACTTAAAGCTACTGATTATGAGCCGCGAGTTATCTTTTCTGAATGGTTTCTTGGAAGATGTAATCAAGATGCAATGTTTCTTAATAAAGTGCTATTTACCGATGAAGCTGGTTTCACTAGAGATGGTATAATAAATTTTCGAAATATGCATGAATGGGCTGAAGATAACCCTCACGCGGTTGTTGAACGTCACCACCAGGATACATTTTCAATAAACGTCTGGGCTGGAGTTATTGATAATTACCTTATTGGACCATTTGTTTTGCCGAATAGGTTAAATGGAGCAGCATACAGGCTTTTTTTGGAAAATAACTTACATGAGCTTCTTGATAATATTCCGATTCAAATCAGACATAACATGTGGTTTATGCATGATGGAGCTCCACCACATTACAGCCTTGAAGCTAGACAGCACCTTAACGAAAGATTTGAGGGTAGAGTAATTGGCAGAGGTTTTCCTGTTAACTGGCCACCTCGTTCACCAGATCTAAATCCAATGGATTTTTTTGTTTGGGGTTATTTAAAATCATTGGTTTATTCCAGTCCTGTTGAAACAGTTGAAGAATTGGAAGAACGAGTTTTTCATCATTGCGAAGTTCTTAGGAATAATCCTAAAGTATTTTTTCGTGTAAGACAGTCTATGATGCGACGGTTGCGCTTGTGTGTGGAAACCAATGGTCGCCACATTGAGCATCTGCTTTAATTTTTTTTGATTTGTTTTTTTAGAATAAATATTTTTTTCTACACCCGTATTATAATAATGCACTTATATGCCCATAATCCGTTTCATAATGATACCCATTATGATACAGATTTTTCATTACGATACAGATTTTTAATCAATAGAAACCTACAATTTTTCAATCAAGCATGCTGTTTGACGTTTGTCCTAGGTTCCTATGTAATTATTTTAGTTGTCAAAACGTATTAAATTTTCGTAGGTAGCTAAACTTCGATAATTATAATATTAAAATGTCTGATATTAGCGATATAGAAGACTCCTCCACACATATCGGAGAAAGCAGAAAATACAGTACAAAATATTTTACCGCAAAAATCTAGGGAAATACCAATACCTGAAGTAATACCATTAATTACAATTTTGTAGAATTTTTTATAGAAATACGAGTAATTACTGTTATTGTGTTCAATACCAATATAAATATAATATTTATAGGTCTTGATTATTTATCGGGTGTAGAAAAAATAGCGTATGCAACTCTCATGTAATGGTTATTAAAACACTCGCATAAACCATACGAAACTCGCCTTTGGCTCGTTTCGTATCCCGGTTAATGCTCGTGTATTAATAACCATCATTACATGATCGTTGCATAATATACTATTTTAAACCGTTTCTTATTATTAAATAAAAATAGTCCCACCACGACATTTGAACTACAATTATTTAGAGAGAGCTAAAAAAGTTATTTTTATTTACGAGATTCACCGAGGTAATTTAGGAAAATTGAAAATTAAGCTAAAGTGGACGAATATCTTTGGATGATGTTTTCTCGGAAACGGCTGCTCCAATCGAGATCAAACAAGTATTCCTTTTTGACGTAGTTTTCAATGTAGAATGTAAAAAAAAATATGGATAAGTCATTACCAAAAACACAAAAAAGTTATGAATAATCAAAATTTTCAAAAAATTCCCAAGTACACCCCTGACGAAATAATTTCTTTTTGAAGGTGTCAAAAGGTCACTATTATTGATCATATTTAACAGCCAAAATTTGGTTCTTTTATTTGTTTCCATTTTTAAGAAAATTCAAAAAATCAAAATAAAAAAAATGATTTCGAGAGGCTGTTGCTCGCTTAGGGGGCACTTTAGGACATAGGTCTATAGGAACTTTTTTTCCATTTTTTGGTTAAGGAATCTGCCTGAGAATTTTGGGACACATTTTAAAGGATACCCTGTATATTATATACACTTCTGTAGTAATTCTCCAGCATCTGTAAATGACACGTACCCAGTACACCACAGGTATTATAAAAGCATATTAGATGAAAAATACAAAATATCTTGAGTAGGTACTTCTCCAGTAATAAATTGATAATATTCTTGGGTACTTCTATAGTATATTACATTACGAGTGTGGAAAGTGACATTTTTCACACGAGTGGGAAATATTGTCGCACGAGGCGTAAGCCGAGTGCGACTATCACACGAGTGTGGAAAATCACTTTTCACACAAGTGATGTACAATATTTTTCCTACGACCACAAAATAATTTCATCAAAAAATGTAAAACCAGATTATTATAATAATTAAAATGTATTTAAAAAAATAATCAACAATAATCGTATTTATTAAATTTTCATAATTTCTAAACAAATAAAAAAAAATAAAAAAAAAATAAAAAAAAAATTCTGGCACAGCCAGGATTCGATCGCGGTCGTTGGACGGTCTCAAATTGCAAAGTTGATGCTCTAACCAACTGAGCTAACAGGCCTTACGGTAATTGATTGATCTAATCGCTTATGTGTTTAACCAGAATAAAAAGCAAATATATCTTAGTTATTTTAAAATTATTTTAAAAATAATTGTTAAAGATAAATATCTAGGATCTAATTTACAATAATTTAACAATCATATCGATTTTAGTATTAATATGGACATTACATAGATCAAAATAGAAATTATGTGTTTGACATTTTCTGACAGCTACTGCGGAAAGTAGCATATTCTCACTTGGGTGGAAAGTAAATTCTTATTCATACGCGTGTGATATTGGGCACTTTCCATAGGTCTATATAGTGTGATATGTGTCACTTTCCTAAGTGGTCGTAGGAAAAGCAAATATATCTTAGTTATTTTAAAATTATTTTAAAAATAATTGTTAAAGATAAATATCTAGGATCTAATTTACAATAATTTAACAATCATATCGATTTTAGTATTAATATGGACATTACATAGATCAAAATAGAAATTATGTTTGACATTTTCTGACAGCTACTGCGGAAAGTAGCATATTCTCACTTGGGTGGAAAGTAAATTCTTATTCATACGCGTGTGATATAAGGCACTTTCCATAGGTCTATATAGTGTGATATGTGTCACTTTCCTAAGTGGTCGTAGGAAAAAGCACTTTTCCAGCATTTGCAAGTGACAGGGAATTAATATGTGTTTGCTGGGCTGTTCACTTTCCGTTGTGCCTTTCTAGTAGGCGATGATATTTTTGAAAAAATGTCTGACATTTCATTCTAGTTGTTTACAAGTCTCACTATTGCTGTATAAATCCATCACCCAGACAGCACAAATAGGTCCGTTGGACGTCCATTCGATATACAATTTTGTATGTCTGGACGTTCAAAGATGAGTTTTTTCTGAACTTCCGAATTCCAATGGACGTCCAGTGAAGTATATAAATGGCACTTTTTTGACAATTCATAGGGCGTCCAATTCTGGATTATATTTGGACGTTGAATACTGGACATTCAAAAAACGTCCATTCCTGGATTATATGTATTCCATTGATACCACATTCCCACTTTTTTTACACAACCGCAACTCACCAAACTATTTATATTATTAATAATTTATTTATTATTTTCGCAACCCGCTATACACCATTTATTTTTATTTTTTATTAAAAAACACTTACCAGAGCAGGAATTGAACTCACGACACGTCCATTGTCGTTCTAGGAATTTAAAGAATTTAAACGCTGGGCGACCTCGACCAAGGAGCCACTTGAAAAATTCTTACTAGATACGGTTATAATAGAATAAGATTTCAAACTTCTGCTGATAGAATGAAATGCATTAGATTTAATTTGTCAATTTTTAATGACCAATTCTATTAAAAAAGTGTTTATATATAAAATAAATCTGGTAGGCTAAATAAATAATGACCTAAGATGGACGTCCACTGGACGTCAATAGTAAACTTAAAATTAAGTCCAAAAACAGACGTCCTCTGGGCATCGATATGCAGTTGTCAAATTAATAATCATAAACGGGCGTACACTGGATGTACGAATACGGATATGGACGTTCTGGCCCTTAAATGGATCTAAAGTAGACGTCTATTGGATTACCTATATGTGTGCTGTCTGGGCACAGTGTGTTCGGGTTACATCCCCATCTTTTACCCGCAATGTTTTTTGCATGCCCTTAGGGCTTTTGTGGCCTTATTTACTACTTCCTTCTCATGTAAGTTCCAGAGGAGTTTATTGTCCAGGGGTAGGCCTAGATATTTAACTTATTTTTTCCATTCTATATCTATCCCGTCTAATTTTACGGTTTTGAGACTGAGTTTTCTCTTCCTTGAAAAGGCTCCTAGTGATAATAATGTAACTAGATAACAATAATATATCAAACAACTCAAAAATTATAGATTACTACAATAGTCTGGACAAATTATGACTTTTTTAATTCCTAGATCCGAAAAATGACCTTTGGATTTATAATAATTTATGTAGAACATAAATATTATTTCAATTTCAAATGGCCCTTTACTAGAAATTATTAAATTTTTAATTTTTGTTTTTACTTTTCTAAAATACATTTGGCCAATTTATCGGATGCATACCTGACGTTTGTTTCGGAAAGATAGTAGTCCAAACATTGGTTTTCTTTTGGCCTAAAACTGTCTATAATCAAAGGTTTTCTCTTGTAGTTAGTAGGAAAAATCTTGGCGACCTTCAATGGACTGTATTTGTCCAGAAGATCATCGGCTGGATCCGTATGTTTACTACTAGCCATAGAGTCCCGCGGCATTTTTACTGTTAATTTTTAATTTAATAAACAGAATTTAGTAGATAATTTCAATCCACGAAGAGTTGTAACAACGTACAATTTGACAAACTCAAAAACTAATGACATTGACAAAAATATTTGATGTTTTATAAAAAAAATATACAGGATAATTGCATTTAATTTGAACTAAAATCGTAATTGTTTAGAATCGTATTTAATAAAACATATCTGCAACTCTAATTAATCAAATTCCTTCAAATTTCTGTAATTTCTGTTTTAAAACTATTTTTTATACCCTATCATTTAATGTGTGTGTTTTGTTTAATTGATCAATTTCCCGCTTAGTATCGCATAAATGAATGCAAAAAGTGGCATGTCGTGTTTTTGTACTTGCTATTTGTAGTTGGGTACAGAAGAGAAAGGTGAACATGTATTATGATCCTGTGGTGGGAGCTGTCGTGTAACCTGTCAAATTCAAAGTAAAGTTTCTTATAAATGGATTTTTTTCGTTTTATGCGCTGGCAATGAAATAATATACTTCTAAACGTCTATAACCATAAAAAATCCCCTTGCAAGCATTTTCTGTGTAAGGATTTCTGATTTCAGTTATATGTTATTTTCAACGAAGTTTGGGATATAGCTTAAACGCGTACATAAAATAAAATTATATTTTTTGTATCGTTTATTTCTAGGAAATCGATCTTATTTTCTTTTATCTAAGTTACCTCTAATGCTGTCTCCTCTTGGGGTTTGAGGACTAGGTCAGACTTCAGAGTTAGTTTCTCTGGTTTGTGCATTTTCTCCAGATTTGGGTACTCCCAAAATAAATCTGTTGTGGTTTTCTTCCACGTTAAGGGTTGTTTTGGTTTTTTCTAAACCTTTTTTAAGGGAATTTTCAGTAATTGTTGTTTGGATACTCTTGATGGACTGTCCTTCTGTTTTGTGTGAATGGGTAATCGGTGCGGCCGTATTTTCACTTTTTAGTGTAACTGTCCTATTAATTTCAGTACGTGTTTTGGTGATATTATCTGTGTTATTAGAGCACCAGGGAGCTGCATATAGGGTCTTCAGTGTGGACCTTAAGTTCCGTAGACATTCTTCAAAATAGTGTTTTTTATAAGTTGTATCATCCTGTAGAACTGTGAAACCAGTTAATTTTTGTTCTGTATTCATACTCTGGTTTTAGCTTAGATAATATTACTTACTCTGAGGGTTTTAGTTCTATTAGGTCTCCTTGCTGGATTAATAGTCATTTTTCTTGTCCTTAAATCTATAATGGCCTTAAAATTAATTAAAAACTGTATTGCCAATATCAGTGATACGGGTAGCTGTTTAACTACTACTGCATTGCAAGTAGTCATAAGTTCGCCTATATTTAGGCTTAAGTTTGTTTGTCCTAAAGTAGGTATTCTATTACTTCTTGCGGCTAACAGGTAACTAATTTTATTATTGCTAATGCCACTTGAGAAATCTTCACGAACAATATTATGTTCTGATCCAGTGTCTATTATGGCTTCCGTTTTTTCGCCATTTATAACGACATTAACTGTTAATATCTACCTCATATTTTTGGGAATGCATCATCCCAAGTGTTGCGAGGACAAAACCGTGGACTAATGATTTTGTCCGCGGTCGTTTGGGGCTTAATTAGGCCTTCGGTAGCATACAGCTGCTGAGTGCATAGGCGTCGAATCCCCGGGGCTCTGGGTGCGCAAGCACCCAGAGCAGTTTTAAACTGGGGGCAGATCACCCATAGCATAACGTGGACAAAAAGTGCCAATACGTGAAATGAAGATGTCGTGGCCCAAGTTCGTAGACCGAAAGGATGCCTCAATGCGGCATCAGTTTTTAATTGGCTGTTAGAGTTGTGTGCTGAGACGTTGCACGTTGCGATAATCCTAATGCAAAATATTAAAGTTTTCTTCTTAAGGCCAAGTTCAATGACAAGTGACGGCAACTTTTTTATCACAAGAAATACAGCTCTGAACGATAATATTTTCAAAAACTGTTTTCATAAATGGGTTCAAAAAACTGTGAAAGAATGATGGAAAGTCCATGGTTTGTTTTACTTTTAATGCATAATATTTTAATAAGTGATATTTAACAAATATTTAAAAGTTATGGACTTTCCATCATTTTTTATAGTATTTAAAAGTTAAAACGCAAAATACATTCTTTTATTTTTGCCTAATTATTTCAGGATTCTTGTGATAAGATTTAAAAATGTAGGGCCCATAAGATGCTGCCATCTGAACAGACGGAATAGACACTAAAATTGAAAAATTGCTACATCGCTCCCTATGCAGACGAATGTAAAATGGCTTAGCCCAATTTGACCATGTTTCTGGGTGAGGGGAGGGGCGGGGTGGTGTGCGGGGAAAGGTTGCAAGTAAATAAATTATTCTATAAATGGTATTTTCTGTTTGGAACACAACACAAGCATGTTTGTTTTGAAAGTTTGACGTTTATGGTTTGACGTGTCATTTTAATTTAATGGACTTTAATAATTTAAAAGATGCAATGTACTTATTTTATTTATATATTATATTATTGTAGATCCAGGTATGTTTTTGGTTTTTATTTTCTTTATTTGGCTAGTTTGCTAATATCACAATATTCAAATTTAGTAAAAAATAATGTAATAATATAACAATTATTCTAAATAGGAAATGTAATTTAACTGCAATTGTTTTGATAACAGTATTTGCATATGGTCTGTGAATTTCATCTGTTTCCGAATAATTACCCTTAAATATTTGAATTTTTCTACTAACTGTATAGATTTTCTTTCAATTTCCTATATTGTTTGTCCACAAACTGCATATAGTTATTACTTATCAGCTTATATTTTGTTTTAGGTATTTGTGTTGATTTTTAACAAATTATTTCAACATCATTTATAAACATTTTGCAGAGTTTCATTGACAATTAACTCTTACTAAGTTTTCTGAATCCTTACAACTTACAAGAAACATAGATAAGGACATCATAGGCAAACTAAGAGGCAAACAGGTAAATGTCATATTGATTATTGCGACATCAACAATCATTAATATAAATTAAAAATAACAGGGGACCTAATTTTCTTCCTTTGATGTGGTTAATTTCTACTGATCAGGACAGCGATTCTTTTGTGCGAACTCGACACATTACATACAGAATAGAGAGAGACATTACATTAAAATCGCTGTCTGTCGAACAAAGATAGGAGTCTCGATAGGAGACGCACTGAAAAATGAGAATCCCACTACATGTTATTTAATTTTAATCTCTCTGATCTGATACTTAGATAATCTACATGTTACCCCAATGCATGCTTTATAGCATAGATATAAAAACCACCTTTATACCAATACTTTTTAATTTTTTTATCGAATGGTTATGATCAACTGAATCAAGTTCATTTTAAAGAAATACAATTAATTTTTAATTGTACATATGGCGGGTTGTACAATAGGCAGTTAAAATATAGACTTAGTTTAAACTGTGAACCTTGTTGTATACTCATCGGTTTTTGTTAAACATAGTTTTAAAAATGACATTTGTTTTTGAATATAACTAGTTAAAAATAAAACTCTTGTTAGTTAAAATATGTTTAGAATATTTACAACCTGCCCATAATGTATTTTGTAAAAATCATAATATTCTTGTAAGGAAGTTGGAAAGCTTAGGGTTTGATCAGTCGCTGTTGAGATTATTTTCATCTTACCTAAATCATCGTTTTAATTATGTCTTTTACAACGGATTTTCATCTTCACCCCTCACAGCAACATCTGGAGTTCCACAGAGCTCCAATCTGGGACCACTATTATTTGGTATATTTATAAATGACTTGGCAATAAATTTAACCTGCTGTTCGCTGCTGACTTAAAAATATTTACCTCAATCTCATCAATTCAAGACTGTTACTTTTTACAGACCCAACTTGGGAATCGTTGAAAATTGGTGTAATGAAAACAAGCTGTTTATGAATGTGTCTAAATGTAAAGTATGTTCCTATACTAGAAGTAATAACAAGGTGGAGTTTGTTTATTTATTTAACAGCCTACCTTTATCGGACTTGTGCACAAATTGAAGATTAAGGTATATTATTCAACCAAAAAGTTACTTTTACGGATTATATTGAAAATACCGTTGCTTCTGCGTTGAAAAGCTTAGGGTTCTTAATTCGTAATACTCGTTCTTTTACAAACTCTTAAAGCTTGGAGATCCTTACTTTTCTTTAGTTCGTTCCAGGCCAGAATAAGCATCTCTTGTCTGGAACCTTATTTACAATATTCATAAAAGATCATTGGAAAATGTTCAGCGGCGATCTCTCAAGTACCTTTCTTTTAAAATAGATGAGCTGTATCCCATTCGAGGTATTGAAGAATCTCTGCTTCTTTCGAAAATAGAAGGGTAGTTTCCAGTGTTACATTTTTTTTATAAAATATTACATAACACTATTGATGTACTATTTTTAATAAATTAAATAAATTTTAATGTTCCCCAAACAGCCATTAGATATCATAAAACATTTTATACAGCAAGTATTTGAACGAACTTGGGAAGAAATTCACCTATAACGCTAATGTGTTCAAATTTTAATTAATTTTGTTCTGATTGGGAAATTTATTTCAACCATTAGTTGTAGCTAATGTATTTAGGATTCTTTCTTTTCTTTTTTTTTTTCTTCTTGCTGTTGCTAAAATTACTTTTTGTCGAAATATTATGTTTAACATTTATTTCATGTATTTTGTTCTGTAAATGGATTATTTTGTTGGGCATAAAATTATTTTTATTTTAATAAGCAAAAAAAATTTTATTTTGATGCACCTACCACCTTTAAAAGTTTGTCAGTATATTAACGAGAAATCCTATATAATTCCCAAAGAAAAATATTTTTGGAATAAATTCCGAATTCTATTTATTGATATTTCTTATTTTTTAGGTTCAATGACTCGAAACATGATGATCAGCTACACCAAGAATATCCTTGATACTTAAACAAAATGGTACGAGATTAAGCAGATTTGATGCTGTCACATTGTGGTGCGAAGACGTGGCTAGTATAAATTTGGGGTATCAGTTGATAGAAAACAGTACGCAAAAATAAATTTAAATCTGCAGATGCATCAGAGATAGCCATATTCCATAC